TGGGCCCTGCTGCCCGGCCCGGGACTGGATCCTTCTGGCTAACCCGGCGTCCTGCCTGAGGCTGTCCCGGCCCGGCCTGGGACAGAAACCTTCTGGCTAACCCGGCGTCCTGCCTGGGCCTGGCCTGTCCTGTCCCGGTGTCCTGCCTGGGCCCTGCCGCCTGGCCCGGGACCGGACCCTTCTGGCTAACCCGGCGTCCTGCCCGGGCTCTGCTGCCCAGCCCGGGACCGTATCCTTCTGCCTAACCCGGCGTCCTGCCTGGGCTCTGCCGCCTGGCCCGGGACAGGACCTTCTGGCTGACCCGGCGTCCTGCCCGGCGCTGCTGTCTGGGATCTCCAGCACATCCCTGGGCAGCATGGGGAGAACTGGGAGCCGGGGCTGGGCTGTCCACAGAGTCATTCAGTGCGTGTAACACCCGTCTCTTGCTGCACTTTCAGACGCGGATGCAGAGTTTGCAGCCGGAGCCTGCCGCCCGCTATCGGAACGTGCTCGAGGCCCTGTGGCGGATCGTCCAGACAGAGGGATTCTGGAGGCCAATGCGGGGCATGAACATCACAGCCACTGGGGCCGGCCCTGCCCACGCCTTGTATTTCGCCTGCTATGAAAAGTTAAAAAAGACATTGAGTGATGTTATCCATGCTGGGGGCAATAGCCATGTGGCCAATGGTATTGATCCTTCCTGCACCGCTTCCCTGCACCACCATCCCTGAGGGGCTAGAGCAGCTGAGGGCAGCCCTGCTGGCTGGGGCGGTAAAGTCAAGGGCAGGGGCAGCCCCAGAAGCCAAGTCTCCTGTGCTCCCCCAGGATGACTCAGTAGAGCTCAGACTGGTTGTCAGAGCAGTTTCTCTCCCCTGCCTAGTTACCATCTCCCAAACACTGCCCTGACCTATACCTGCATAACTCTGTACCAGCCCTACTGGAGCTCTGTGTCCGCTCCTCTGCACTGGCTGTAGGGCAGGCAAGGGCTGTGCAGCAGTGGCCACAGTGAATCAAGGGGAGAACATGAGTGGCACTAGAGGTGCTTGCTACTGTTTAGACCCATTCATGGGGCCAGGTGCAGCAATGGGGAAAACAAATGTGCCCCGGCTAATGGGAGGGGGGAGCAGGGTGTGTGTGTGTGTGTGTGTTAGTTCTTTGGGCAGTCAGGAATAGGGTCCGTGTAGGGGTCAGGGCTTGCTGAGTGGCTCTCCAAGGTGCTGTAATGCCACCGATTTCCTCATCCAGCCCAGGACGCGGTTTCTTTGGTGATGCTGTGGCCAATGGGCAGGGAGACTCGATTGGTAGCAGCGGCCGGGGCTGATGCTTAGTGCGGTGGTCTTAAAGCATTAGACGTGCTGCACTTAGGCCAGTCTGCTCAAGATGGAGCAGATGTGCTAAGTAATGTCCTCTCTCCAGTCACTAGCTAGCAGCCCATCTGCGCAGTGCTCTGGTTCCACATCACCCTTCCCTACCAATCCCAGCGCTGGGCAAGGGGAAGTGCTGTATTCGTGCCTGCACCTGTTCATAGACCTGTCTGAGATGTTCCCAGGTATCTGGCTTTGAGGAACAGGTTAGTGGGGCTGGGAGCTGGCCAACACCTGCCCCTTGCTCACAGCAACACCTGTGGATGGGAGCTGCCTGCAGGACTCCCCCTCGTCTCTAGCTGGGATTGACCGCAGCATTGTGGGTAGGTAGAGTGGAGCAGGGTTCAGGATGCAACCCTCAGAGTTCCCGTGCCTCATTCCCAGTGGTGCCTTTGACTTTCTCTGGCTCCCCACGCTGCTGTGCTTGAACAGATTTGGGACTCATTGGACCTGCATTGGAGGGTGTCTTTCACCCTGGTGGATACTGGGGTGCAGTGGGATCCTGACTATGGAGTGGTTTCTCACTCTGGGACACGGTGAGGCATGGTCCCATAGGGTCCCTGTGAGTCTGCTGTTTGCATCTTCTCTCTAGTAGGTGCTGGGATTAAGTGAGGCCTAGTCGTCTCCATAAGGACCTGGCAGATTATTGCACTTCCTCTCAATTTGTGGGTTCTGAAGCTGGGGGTTCCTGGATTCTGGGCCTCTTCTTGGGCAGGATGTGGTGGCTGCATTAGAAATTTACCAATCTTCTCCTTTCTGGTAGTGGAGTCCTGGCAGTGGGTGTCTCCCTCTTCTCTGGCGAGGGGCTCTGGGGCTCAGTGGAGCCCCGGGTCTCTCGCCCTCTCCTCCCCTCACATGTGTCAGTTCTTGTTTTACAGGTGCAGCGGGGTGTGTAGCAACATTGCTCCATGATGCAGCTATGAACCCTGTGGAAGGTAATGATGACCCTGTGCCCACTGCAGGGGAGGCCCTGTAGGCGGGGGTGAGGGTGTGTGGTGCTTCCTCTGTGCGGGAGCTGAATTAATCTCTGTGCTGTGCTCCTGTCTGTGGCACCAGGGGGCGCTCTCCTCATTCTGTCCTAACTAGGGAGAGTCCTGCGGCGAGCAACATGCCCTGCCTAGGGCCCAGGCCTGGATAGCTCAGTGGTATCTATTTAGGGAGTTGGATTAGCCAGAAGGTTTCTATTCTAGGAAAAAGGAGCCAGCCTCAGCCTGGGGAACCTAGGGCCAGAGAGTGAGGGAGCCAGCCCTTCCCCCCAAGGGACTTGTCATGAGGATCAGCAGAGAAAGCGACAGCTCTAGTTAGCGGATCTGAATTCAGATTACCAGCAATCTGGGCTGTGGTGAGTGCAGTTCTCACCTGGGCCCACCTGTGCTGAGACTATCCGCTAGGGAGAGGGTGTGAGTGCTGGGAGAAATTTCTCTGTGGAAGCGGCCTTCCCTCAAGGTCCTGAATTCCCTTTGCAGGGTGTTCCCAGGAGAGCCTTTGCAAGATACATACTTGCAGCCAAATGCCTCTTGAGTCTGAATGCCCCTGCAAAGGTGCAGAGCTGGGCTTGCCCATTGCTTGGATGTTACTCCCCAAGAACAAGGAGGTGCTTTTGGCTCCGTAGATGACATTCCCTCCCTGTGGTGGGGCTGATCCCTATGCCCCACACTAAGGTGTGCTTTGGCTCTTTCTGCAGGACATGGGGTGGTAGGCCTGGGGTCCCACCCAAATTCCAGCTCCGTTATTTGCGTTCTGTCTCCTGAATCCCCCTGCAGTTGCAGTCAGAGAGTTGTTTCTGCTCTGCTGTGTAGAGCTGGAGTTTGGCTCTTGAACTGCTGCTGGATGTGATCAGGGCTGTGGCTGTAGATGAGCACATGTATCTGCTGGCTGAATTAGTGAAATACTTGGGGATATTCTGGGATGGAAGATGCTGTAGAAATGCAGGGATGTGCCCAGATGCTGAGATCCATCTGAGAGACGGAATGATGTTCTCTGACTGCCTCATAGGTCTGTAACAATGGAGGGAGGGATTGGTCTCCCCAAGGGAAGATGTAGATGCTTGGTGCTGAGCTCAGCATGCGAATGCTGACTGAAACGAAGTGTTGCAGCCCTTGGGTGTGCAGCCGGATACTAATATGGTGAGGTAGCTGGCACCCAGCAAAGAGCTGTTCTAGCTAGATTCCTGGCTGGGTGTGGGGATGCTGGGAGTTACGGATCTTGAACCAGGGGTTTTCTGGTCTTAGTTGTCAGTGGTCTCTGAAGCCAGTGAGAATAGAAACCAGGGAGCTCCCTAGCCCTATACTCATCCTTTCTCTCTCTCTCTTATCCTCTCGGTGGCTTGGCCACTGGACGCTGTCACTGACTCTTGCTGCTGCCATCCGCCCCAAGTGATCAAGCAGAGGATGCAGATGTACAACTCACCATACCAGCGAGTGACGGACTGTGTGCGGGCCGTATGGCGCAACGAAGGGGCCGGGGCCTTCTACCGCAGCTACACCACCCAGCTCACCATGAACATCCCCTTCCAAGCCATCCACTTCATGACTTATGAGTTTCTGCAAGAGCAGCTCAACCCCCAAAGACAGTATAACCCTGGCTCTCATGTGGTCTCAGGGGCCTGCGCGGGTGCTGTGGCCGCTGCTGCTACCACGCCATTGGACGTTTGCAAAACGCTGCTCAACACCCAGGAGTCCCTGGCCTTGAACTCCAACATCAGTGGACATATCACAGGCATGGCCAATGCCTTCAGGACGGTGTACCGAGTGGGCGGTGTGACCGCCTACTTCCGTGGGGTCCAGGCCCGGGTCATTTACCAGATGCCCTCCACAGCCATTGCTTGGTCCGTGTACGAGTTTTTCAAATACATCCTCACCAAGCGCCAGGAGGAGCGCCGGGCTGGGAAGTGAGTCAGAGCTTGGCCCTGCTCTGGGCCCACATAATCTCCCCTCCCTGCCTCTGCCTCTCGGTGTCTCCCTTTGGTTTGGTTTGTGCTGGAGATGGGGAGGCAGGAAAGCCTTTGGGTTCTCGCAAGGTCATCTCTTGCCTGGGGCTGCTGCAGCTCTGCTCAGACAGCACAGCCTGCCCCTGTCCCCAGAACCCTCGAGTGATGTCATCCTGGAAGCTACAGCCCAGGTGACCTGCCCTTGCACTTCCACCTAGGAGTTGTGTTCCTGCTTTTCCCCTACCAAATCTCCTTGAACCTAAAGCTTTGTCTCTGGGGATAACAAACACCATGACCCACCACTGGCAAGTCAAAGCTCAGGTGCTCAGGAAAGGTCCTTGCCATTGCCTGGAGCGCCAGGGGCTATTGGCTGGTTTCTGGCTGGGGGAAGTGTAAGCTTAGCCGTTGTCTAGCAGCACGCACACACAGATGCACACCTGACACCGACCGCCCTGTTGCCAGCTGGCAGGAAGGATTGCCTGGGAGGGGAGTTCGTAGATTTGTGGTTGTTCCTACTCTTGGCGCCTCCAATAAAGAATTCTGCTTTATTGTCATGTCCCTTGTTACTCTTGTAAAGCCCAGCTCCTGGGGTCTGGCTTGGGGCCTTTCAGTAGCTCTCCAGCCAGTGTTATGCAGTTGTACAGGCTGTGGATGGTGCTCCCATCTTGCACGATGGGGAGATGTAACTAACTGCTGAGCTGCTGAAAGCTCCCTGCTTGGAGCTGGGGGGGGAGGGAGGGGAAATGTGGCAGGCTGGCGGTGAGGCAGGGCTGTTAGCCAGCAGCCAGAAGGTTGGGAAATGGGCAGGGTGGTGGCGAATGGGAGGCGATGATGGGAAAATGGCAGCAAAGGAAGGGGAGACTGGGCTGGCTGATGATCCCTATTGGGAGACGTGAGACCAGGCAGCGGTCAATGGGATACATGCCGAGACGCTCTCTCAAGGTCTGGCCCTCGGTATGGAATTGTTCCAGAGCTCTAGGCAAGGGGTGGGTTCCTGCAGATTTGGGGAGTAAAGGGAGGAGCTTCCTGGCTGCTCTTGAGGGAGGAAGAGGTAGGTGTAGGGGAAGGGCCTCTGGCTGCTAGTCCAGGAGGAGCGGGAGCCTTGGCTGTCCTCTGAGAAGGTGAGGGGGACCCTGGTGCTCAGGGCTGGGGGTGGGTTATTTATTTCCGGGCGGGGGGTGTTCAGGCCCCATGACCTGCTCAGCAGCTGGCATGGATCATGCTCAGGAGTGGGAGAGGCTGCAGGGGATTTGTCTGGGCTACAAGACTGACCCGCCAGCTGCTCTGCATGAGCGTGTCTGTAGGGTGGGGTGTGGCTGAAATACAGGTGCTCTCTGGACAGTTCACCTGCACCAGGAAGGTCAGCAAGGCGCATGGGTGAGATGGAGAGGGTGTGAATAAGAGCAGTGGGTGGCGTTTTGGGGGCTCTTGGCTTCATGCAGGCTAATGCTGGAGAGGACTGGAGCTACAGCCCATAGGGCAATTGCCGTGCTCACGGCAATGCTCCAGGAGGGGGCTGCAGCTTCCTACCCATGGGGAGATGAGCCAGTCGCTGGCCTTTGGCTGAGCCAATGTATGTAACACATCACCTCTGGGGCTGTCTCCTGTGCTGGCACAGATATGGACATAGGGCTGATCCAAAACCCATGGAAATAAATGGAAAGGCTTGAATGGCCTTTGGGTCAGAGCCTCTTTGGTGAACAAGTCTCTTGCATCTTAACTTCACTGATACTCTGGGCCCTAAATACCTTCCTGCTGCCCTCTTGGTTCTGCATGCAGTGCTGGGAAGATGGCTGGCTCTGTTTGCCGTGGGATCATAGGAATTGCTGTATCGGATCAGAGCAATGAGCCAGCTAATCCAGTGCCCTGTCTCTGGCAGGGACCAGTCCTAGGTACTTCTTGCACTGACATGCAGGGGTAGGCGAGCATGGGTGCCTCTACCTGCAGGGAAAACTTCCTCGTGGGCCCTGATAGGTTGTTTCTTGCCTGTGAATGACTGGATTGCTCCCCCAATTCTTTTACTATAACTTCTGGATCTCCTCTCAAGAATTATCAAATCCTTTTTTTTAATCCTCCAAAGCTCTTGACCATAATGGTCTCATGTAGCAGCAAGTTCCATCGGCCAACGGTGTGTTGCATGGAAAAGTATTTCTCGGCTCTGATTTTTTCTGTAAGCCTTGTGGCCTTACAGAGAATGGAGCTCGCTATTGATAACTGTTGGTGATTGGAGGGAAGAGCTGCTTGAGAGCTCCAGGTGGCCGGGGCTCCTAGGGAAGGGTGCTCTCTGCTTGTCTGTTGGAGGGCAGGGGGAAGGGACTGAACGGGCTGGCCTCATTTGCATTTCCTTTATGTGACCGTTTGGGCCACGTTGGTTAACTGTCTCTAAGCTTTGAGTTTGGGGCAATCCAGTGGCATTGACCCTTTTGGGAAAAGAAGGGACAAAACACTGACCCGAAGGTGCCTGGAGTCACCCTGACCATGGCTGCAGTGAGGCCCAGTTGGGTAAGGGAGCTTGGAAACTCAGGTGGCAAAGGGGAGGGGTGGAACGCAGTGGCAGGTGTTGTAATGTGCAGGGTTTAAGCGAAACTGATTTGTTTCAGAGAAGCGGATGTGGCTTTGCTGTAGCTGCTTGGGCAGAATAGATGTGGTGAATGCTGTGCTGCAGGGTGATGGTGTGTTTGAAGATAAAACCGCAGTGTGTGGCAGGCTGTGTGCAGCCCTTCTCAGCCAGTAATTAAAGCTGAAGTTGTTTCAGGTGAGTCATGGGGTAGAGTCCCATGAGCAGCATGGGCCTGGGAGAATCCTTGGACTTCTCCAATTCAGGACAATAAACTATGACTGGGGAGCAGTGGAGGAGGAAGTGGTAGAAGACACCCACCACTTATAAATGCCAGAGGAGGACTGAGGTTGGGACTGTTAAGATACCCAGGGCATGGGGGAGTCTTAATGCACAGAATTTGTTAATTGCAGGTTTTTCCCCAATTCACTCCGTTGTCCTGCTCCCACCTTGTCCCCCCCAGTAAGGTTCTCTTTGTTTCAAATCTCTGGACTCGGTGCTGGTGAGTGGGGAAGTATTGTTTGTTTGTTTCCCTTTTTGTTGCCAACACCTCCTGGCAGAAGGGCTACCCCCGTTTGCTGTGGACCTCTGTCTCCAAGTCCATTGTCAGCGCAGGGCATAGGGTTTCAGAGGGAGGCTCTGCTTCCTTTTCACCATCTGGAAGCGCAGGCTGCCTGTAGGCGCAGTGGTGGGCCAATGGAATCTGACAGCGTAACAACTGCTGCTTTTTTACTAGGAGCCAGAAGCTGAGGTGGGACCTTTATTTATTACAGAGGCGTTAGGCAGGAATTGCACAAATCTTTGGCTGTTCCACTTGGTGGAGGTCTCTGATTCGTAAGGGTTGCTCCTGGGACCCTCAGGTTCCGATTTGGACTTTCTGTGCAGTGTGCCTCATTGGCTAGTCTGGATCTGTTAGCTGTCCAAACCCAGACTGTTCAGCAGGGAGATTATGGCAAAGCGCCAGGGCTGTGCTCTCCGAGGCTGCGGGCTATCTGTTTATTTCAAAATGTGTGCATTGGCTGTCTGGTTTATCCCACTCCTTCCCTCTTCGTATGTTGCTTGTCATGTCAGGTTGTGAATTCTTGGCAGAGACCATCTCCCACTACATGTAGGTAGCACATGGCACGTAGTGGGAGCGACCAGAACACCAATAACTGATCATTTTAAGATCTGATTCCTTGTGACTGTCCAGGGCCAGTAATGCTGGTGAGACCAGGACAAATGCTTTCAGGACCAGTCAGGCCTTGGTCACAGGGTTTAGTCCTGGCCTTTCCACACGCTGCTCCTCCCGCCTTTCTCTGTGCACTTCAGAGGGGTTTCTGGAATTTCCTCCCTGCTCTCTCAGCCCCAAACCTTCACAACTTGGCTACGGAGACATGGCTGCAGTCCATTGCCTCTTGCACTGGGGTGTTTGAACTGGTGCAGTATGGGATGGTGCAGGCATGGCAGAGCCTGTGGCTTATTGTACATATCCCGCATTGCCACACACAACATGACTTTCTGGAGGAAGTGCTTAGCATCTATGGTATCTAATGTCTATTAACATCTGTTCAGTTTCAGCTTGTTCCAATGGATTCTTTGAATGGGTCTGTCCTGCATGGGCTGTGACAGACAATCTGCTATAATATCCTGAACAAACCTTATGTAAGTGAGAGAAACTTTAATTTAAGGACTTTAAACCTTCTAGGATTAGCATTGATGCCTTTGGGGTCCATTGCATTAAATGTGCAATTGTGTACATGCTGTTGTGGCATTGTACGTGCCTTCTCTCATAGGGGAGGGGAATGCTAATGTACTTCCTCCCTTAGAAACCCTATGTAGCCACCCCCCTGGACAGAGATGTATGTACTGGTTTAAACCGGATTCTCCAGGGACGAACAGACAGAGAAAGGATTTTTGCATAAATAGCCTGGTTTTAAACTGGCTCAGGGCCTTGTTTCTGATCCAGCAAATGGACGGGACCCTGGTCCATGGAAGGCCCCAGTCCTTAGCATACAGTTGGAAGGACTGGGCCTACTGAGGCCTCATAAGACTGAGTGCTTGTTCTGAGCTGGAGCTGTGATGAATTTGTGACCACAAAGAACTACAATTTGTCTATCCTAATGACCAGCCAGGGAAGGATGGTCCAGGTTCTCAGCAGACCTCCAGCGCATTGGCAGAGGGTCCAGCAGACAGGGAGAGTCTTGGAGCCAATGCCCTGGAGGGAAGCAGGAACGAGGCTGACGGAGGCTGCACTGTGTTCCATCCAGGCCAAGCACCCCACTGCAACCAGAGCAGTGGACAACCCAATGGCTGGAGCAGGAGAGGGTGCCTGGAACTCCAGCAGCGCTCAGACCAGGAAAGGCAGCATTAGTATGAGAGAGAAGAGAAGGAGAACCAGCACAAGAACATCAGAACGGCCAGGCTGGGTCAGACCAAAAGTCCATCTAGTCCAGTATCCGGTCTTCTGACAGTGGCCAATGCCAGGTGCCCCAGAGGGAATGAACAGAACAGGGAATCATCCA